TTTCGGAGTGATTTTGTATCGAATTTTTTTCTCTTTGTTTGCGAGAGATTTTCTAAAGAAAAATTCTCTCTGTTTGCTAGAGATTGTCTATGGAAAGTGTCTCTCTGTTTGTGAGAGAGTTTCTATAGAAAATGTCTCTCTGTTTGAGAGAGATTTTTTATAGAATATTTTCTATAAAAAATCTCTCTCTTTGCCAGAGATTTTCTATGAAAAATATCTCTCTCTCTCTCTCTGCGAATGATTTTCTATAGATAGTGACTCTCTATTTGCGAGAGATTTTCTATAAAAAATGTCTCTCTGTTTGCTGGAGATTTTCTATATCTCTCTATTTGCGAGAGATTTTCTATAGGAAATATCTCTCTATTTGCGAGAGATTTTCTATAGAAAATATCTCTCTATTTGCGAGAGATTTTTTATAGAAAATATCTATTTGCGAGAGATTTTCTATAGAAAATATCTCTCTATCTATCTTTTCTATATCTCTCTATTTGCGAGAGATTTTCTATAGGAAATATCTCTCTATTTGCGAGAGATTTTCTATAGAAAATATCTCTCTATTTGCGAGAGATTTTTTATAGAAAATATCTATTTGCGAGAGATTTTCTATAGAAAATATCTCTCTATCTATCTTTTCTATATCTCTCTATTTGCGAGAGATTTTCTATAGGAAATATCTCTCTATTTGCGAGAGATTTTCTATAGAAAATATCTCTCTATTTGCGAGAGATTTTTTATAGAAAATATCTATTTGCGAGAGATTTTCTATAGAAAATATCTCTATATTTGCGAGAGATTTTCTATAGAAAATATCTCTCTATTTGCGAGAGGTTTTATATAGAAAATATCTCTCTGTTTGCTAGAGATTTTCTATAGAAAATATCTCTCTCTTTGCTAGAGATTTTCTATAGAAAATATCTCTCTCTTAGCAAGAAATTTTCTATAGAAAATATCTCTCTCTCTCTTTGCAAGAGATTTTCTGTAGAAAATATCTCTCTCTTTGCAAGAGATTTTCTATAGATAGTGACTCTCTATCTTTGCGAAAGATTTTGTATAGAAAATGTCTCTGTTTGCTAAAGATTTTCTATAGAAAATGTCTCTCTATTTGCGAGAGATTTTCTATAGAAAATGTGTCTCTGTTTTCTAGAGATTTTCTATAGATAGTGACTCTCTATTTGCGAGAAATTTTCTATAGAAAATGGTTCTCTGTTGTCTCTCTGGAGATTTTCTTTAGAAAATGTCTCTGTCTGCTAGAGATTTTCTATATAAAATATATCTCTGTTTGCGAAAGATTTTGTCTCTCTCTTTCCGGGATATTTCTTTTACTGAATCTAAAGTTAATTAAAATCATAACTAATATGTTGCCTACTTTAGGGAACTGTTTTTATTAGCTTACTTGAAGCCTGTGTATTGTATTGCAGTATGTTGCCGTTAATCAGGTGCTGTTTTACTGTTTTCAAATAAATACCCATCAAATAGTGTTGCCTACTTTTAGGCTGTTTTCTAGCTTTATAAAGTTAATTATAGTTTTAATTTTTTTTAATGTTTAAAAACATTCAAACGATTTTCATAACACAAAAAAACTGTTGCCTACTTTTTCGTTGTTATTACTTCAATTTCTCTTTCGTTACAAATATCCTTAAATAATCTCTCAACCATTAAACTAAGCTTACTTAAATCGTTAGCCAAAAAGCAAACAGAAACAAAACAAAAAATCTAAACTTCTAAACAACTCTTGCAATTTTTTTACTTGTTAAACCATTCTAGACATTGTTTCTCACAACAAAGCAGTAGGATAGAAAGAAAAAAGAAACTGCTTAAATAGGGGAAAAACGAAAAGAATAGAAGTTTTTTTTTGTTTGTATGCTTTTCTTTATTATTAAGACAGAAATAGAACTTCATTGTATACAAACTTGTAGATTTTTTTTGCTGAAATTTCATTGTGCTACATACAGATAATTGTGCGTGTAACAAGTTGAGACTAAATTTAAGAAAGAAACATGTTAACAAACTTTAGAATAGAACATGTGTTTTAATGGTAGTGGAAGGGGTGCGTATAAAGCAACCAACAAAAGTTAATTCTTTGCTATTTTTCGTTGTTGTCATTCTGTTGTTACTTACCTCCCCCCTTCACTTTTGTTAAATATTGTGTCTATTTAGTTTTCGGCAATGTTTGACACACAATACAAATATTTGTAACACGTAAAGGTTTTTTTTTTTTTTATTTTATTATCATTATGTGGGTGATATAATCTAAACGCATACAAAGAAATCTATACAATACAAAGGAATTTCTTTTTTAGTTTTTCTTTTTTTTTGAAATGAAAAAGAATTGAAGTTACATATTTAGAGATACGCATACAGGGCTGTCACTACGCCTACATTTTGGGGAAAAGTAATGAAAACTGGAGGAGGACAGTATTAATAGTAACATACGAGACATTATTTAAAAAGAATAGTCTAGTTTAAGGGAGACAAATAAAAGAAATTTCATTTCTTTCTCATTATTAAGTAAATTTATAAAATTTCCTTAAAGTAGGCAACAGTTTTTACTAATTCTACACTATAGGAGTCTATACTTTGTTAGCTTTTTACACACTTTGACATTACTCCCAAAAATATACAACGTTTTAGTTAAAACTTAAAATTAATTGCACAAGCCTAAAGTTAGGCAACATTTTTGTCTAGTTTACTCTTTTAGCTTAAAATTCTTCTTAAGTTGAGCTTAATTTCAATAGATTTTAATAAAACTCTTTGTAAATAATGTCACTTAACACCTTCTACACATCAACTACTTTTCTGTCACAGAAAAATTATACAAAGAAAATAGATTTTTCTCTCTACTCCATAAAAGTTCTTTCTTTCATTTCTTCATTCTTTATTTATTTTAATTTTATTTATTATATAAAATTTTTGTTGTTTGGATTTTTATTTATTTTTTGTTTTCGGCAAGAAAGAGAAAATTAAATAAAGTCTTTGTTTTGTTCGAAAATGTTTGTTAAATAAATGGCAGAGAACTGCAAAATCATGCTCTAGCAAGGACAAAAAAAAAAAACGTATGTGAAAAATTTCTTGTTTTTATGTTTTCTTCTGTATTTACCAAATAAGTAGAACAAATAACCTTTTGTTCCTATTGTATGTGGACGGGGATCTTTTTCTCTTACAAGTTTTTGCTTTTTGTCAAGAAAAAAAAAGAAAAACATAACAAAGCTGGTAAAAACGCTGGTTTTAAATAATAATATAACCTTAAACAAAAAGCGGGAAATAAGTACAATAGTACGCATTTACAGGCATACTTTCAGGCGTTCATATGTGGTACGCCTTAGTACAGGGTTTAAAAGCTATAGAGTTAAATTTCTTTTTATAATATTTTTTTATATAAAAACTATTTGTAGGTTAAAGAGTTTTTCTTTTGTCAAAAAGTTTGATTCATTACGACTTCAACTCAAGCAGAATTTTTCTCTTACATAACGAGAGTGAAAAGCAAAAAAAAAAAACATATATTAAAAACTTTTGCAATGAAATCATAAAGAAAGAAGAAATCGTATTACTTTGTGGGAAAAGTTTGGATAAAGAAATATTAAAATTAAAACTAAGGAATAGCAACAGCTTGGAAAACATTGAGTAAATTATAAAATGCCTTAAAATATGCTATCAATAAGTTCACCCTACTATTACGGTTAGTTCTGTTCTAGTTCTGTTAAAGTTCTGTTCTAGTTCTGCACTAGTTCTGTTCTAGTTCTGTTCTAGTTCTGTTCTAGTTCTGTTCTAGTTCTGTTCTAGTTCTGTTCTAGTTCTGTTCTAGTTCTGTTCTAGTTCTGTTCTAGTTCTGTTCTAGTTCTGTTCTAGTTCTGTTCTAGTTCTGTTCTAGTTCTGTTCTAGTTCTGTTCTAGTTCTGTTCTAATTCTGTTCTAATTCTGTTCTAGTTCTGTTCTAGTTATGTTCTACTTCTAGTTCTGTTCTAGTTATGTTCTAGTTCTAGTTCTGTTCTAATTCTGTTCTAGTTATGTTCTAGATCTAATTCTGTTCTAATTCTGTTCTAGTTCTGTTCTAGTTCTGTTCTAGTTCTGTTCTAGTTCTGTTCTAGTTCTGTTCTAGTTCTGTTCTAGTTCTGTTCTAGTTCTGTTCTAGTTCTGTTCTAGTTCTGTTCTAGTTCTGTTCTAGTTCTGTTCTAGTTATGTTCTAGTTCTGTTCTAGTTCTGTTCTAGTTCTGTTCTAGTTCTGTTCTAGTTCTGTTCTAGTTCTGTTCTAGTTCTGTTCTAGTTCTGTTCTAGTTCTGTTCTAGTTCTGTTCTAGTTCTGTTCTAGTTTTGTTCTAATTCTGTTCTAGTGCTGTTCTAGTTCTGTTCTAGTTCTGTTCTAGTTCTGTTCTAGTTCTGTTCTAGTTCTGTTCTAGTTCTGTTCTAGTTCTGTTCTAGTTCTGTTCTAGTTCTGTTCTAGTTCTGTTCTAGTTCTGTACTAGTTCTAGTTCTGTTCTAGTTCTGTTCTAGTTCTGTTCTAGTTCTGTTCTAGTTCTGTTCTAGTTCTGTTCTAGTTCTGTTCTAGTTCTGTTCTAGTTCTGTTCTAGTTCTGTTCTAGTTCTGTTCTAGTTCTGTTCTAGTTCTGTTCTAGTTCTGTTCTAGTTCTGTTCTAGTTCTGTTCTAGTTCTGTTCTAGTTCTGTTCTAGTTCTGTTCTAGTTCTGTTCTAGTTCTGTTCTAGTTCTGTTCTAGTTCTGTTCTAGTTCTGTTCTAGTTCTGTTCTAGTTCTGTTCTAGTTCTGTTCCAGTTCTGTTCTAGTTCTGTTCTAGTTCTGTTCTAGATCTGTTCTTCTTCTAGTCTGTTTTAATTTTGTTCTAGTACAGTTCCTACATTTTCTCAAAAGGTTGGTTGGTTATTTTTCTTCATATTAATATTTCTAATAATAATTATCTTTTATATTTTTCTCATTTCTTTACAGCTCATAAATAATACAACATAATATAAATATCATAAAATTTATAAATTACATAATTAAAGCAAAGCAAACACTTGTTAAAAATAAAAATCCATATAATTTTTTTAGCCAAAAAATTAAATAATATTAGGTCTCCAAATTTTCAAAAAAAAAATTTCTTTATTTCCAAAAGAAAACCTTAAGAGTAAAACAGAGTATTATGCTAACAGGTAAAGCTACTACAACCTAACTAACGACAACAATTTCTTTCTACAAATTTATTTTCACGCTCTGCAACACCTCTCCACCCCTCAATTACAACCCAAACTACACACACACACCTGTTTTCGATTTTAATTATAACATCTTTTGGGGGCTTCTCAAAACAATAACGACCTTGTTATTTGTTATTGCACAAACAAAAAAACATCTTTCACGTAAACCATTTAAATATGATGACAAATTAAAACTTGCTAACCGAAAAACTTACTACTGTATTGCTGTTTTACTTACAACGCCCGCCTATTTTGGGGTTAACATTATTTAATTGTTGTGGATTTTTGGCCAAAAAACACCTTAACAAACTCCATTTTGTTTGTGAAATGAAAATGGCTTTTATTTTATTAAATATTGCGTGACACATGCCATAAATATGTTTTATTTTGTTTGTTTTAAACAAAATATTAATACTTGGTCCCGTATAAAAATTCGTCGTCGACAACAAACACAACAACAAAAAATATCAATCAATTAAAACCAACTAAATGTTTTTGCTGCAATGCTGCTAATGATGATGATGACATCGCATCTATTAACCCATCTTGTTATATCCGATGATTTTCGGCTTAAACATTTAAATAATCAAATCATATTAATCAACGACTGAAATCTATAACAAAAAATAAAAATAATAAATAAATTGTATTAAAACTAAAAAAAAACTTTTTTATAACTTCACTAAAATACATATTAACTAACAAAAATTAAAAAACAAAAAAATTATATATAAAATTTTTTAACCCTCTGCACTTTATAATTTATTTGTCTATATTATGATTTCACCTGGTCAATCTCTTTCAACTCTACCTAACAACTCAAACCTACAGCTTAAAAGCAACAACTATTAACCCTCTTTTTGTAAACGAAAACAAACATAAACGTCATTATAAAATTATCAACGATTTATAACTTAAATATATATATATATATTTTACTAGCCATAGAGTAAGTCTAGTAAAAAACTTCTGTACAAAACATCTCCAAACCAAAAAAAAATCTACTCTTCATATTGTACATATCACAATCCAAAAAAAAAAAAGAAAAACTAAAAATATCTTCCATTTATAACTAAAAATTGCCACAATTCTGTTGCACCATTGTTAAAAGGTTGTTTGTTGTCGTCTTTGTATATATAGTTTTAAAAACCGACAACAAGACGTCTAAAATCCAACAGCAACAGCAGCAGCAGTAGTAGTGGTAGCAAGCGTACAGCAAGTGTTATACAACAATTTGTTGCCACTTATTGTGCCTCCTTAAAAGTTACACTCTTGTGTGTGTGTGTGTATATTTGTGTGAGAGTTTGTTTGTTGGTTGTAAATAATGGGGCTGCAAATGGCAGCATTGCCAACAGCAGCCAATTATGTTGCAGTAACACTCCTAGCGTTGTTGATCTGGACGCCACATGTTATAGATGCAGTCCGTGAGTACAAAAAAAAATATATATTTAAATTTACCATAATTTTTTTATAAAACTATATTTAGCAAAGTGATTAAATTAAAATAAGTTATCTTTAAATTTAAGTTAAGTATTTTTTTTTTTTTTTTTTCTAAAAAAACCCTAAAAGTTTACTTCACTTTTGATATATTTAAAAGAAAAAAATTATATGACACTCATTATAAAATTTAAGATCTGCAATTAAAAGACAAGCATAGCAAACATTATTAGCCCTTAATATATACTTCAGTTTTTTTTTAATTTTGAAGGAATATTCCGCTTCGGATCCGGTAAAAATTGAGATCAGTATAAGGCACTTCAAAATGTTCAGTTCTAGCTCAGTTCTATTTCAGTTCTAGTTCAAATCTAGTTCAGTTCTAGTTCAGTTCTAGTTCAGTTCTAGTTCAGTTCTAGTTCAGTTCTAGTTCAGTTCTAGTTCAGTTCTAGTTCAGTTCTAGTTCAGTTCTAGTTCAGTTCTAGTTCAGTTCTAGTTCAGTTCTAGTTCAGTTCTAGTTCAGTTCTAGTTCTGTTCTAGTTCTGTTCTAGTTCTGTTCTAGTTCTGTTCTAGTTCTGTTCTAGTTCAGTTCTAATCAGTTCTAGTTCAGTTCTAGTTCAGTTCTAGTTCTGTTCTAGTTCAGATTTAATCAGTTCTAGTTCAGCTCTAGTTATGTTCTAGTTCTGTTCTAGTTCTGTTCTAGTTCTGTTCTGTTCTAGTTCTGTTCTATTCTAGTTCTGTCCTATTTCTGTTCTAGTTCTGTTCTAGTTCTGTTCTAGTTCTGTTCTAGTTCTGTTCTAGTTCTGTTCTTGTTCTGTTCTGTTCTAGTTCTGTTCTAGTTCTGTTCTAGTTCTGTTCTAGTTCTGTTCTAGTTCTGTTCTAGTTCTGTTCTAGTTCTGTTCTAGTTCTGTTCTAGTTCTGTCCTAGTTCTGTCCTAGTTCTGTTCTAGTTCTGTTCTAGTTCAGTTCTAGTTCAGTTCTAGTTCTGTTCTAGTTCTGCTCTAGTTCTGTTCTAGTTCTGTTCTAGTTCTGTTCTAGTTCTGTTGTAGTTCTGTTCTAGTTTTGTTATAGTTCTGTTCCAGTTCTGTTCTAGTTCAGTTCTAGTACTAGTTCTGTTCTAGTTCTGTTCTAGTTCTGTTCTAGTTCTGTTTCTAGTTCTGTTCTGTTCTAGTTCTGTTCTAGTTCTGTTCTAGTTCTAGTTCTGTTCTAGTTCTGTTCTAGTTCTGTTCTAGTTCTGTTCTAGTTCTGTTCTAGTTCTGTTCTAGTTCTGTTCTAGTTCTGTTCTAGTTCTGTTCTAGTTCTGTTCTAGTTCTGTTCTAGTTCTGTTCTAGTTCTGTTCTAGTTCTGTTCTAGTTCTGTTCTAGTTCTGTTCTAGTTCTGTTCTAGTTCTGTTCTAGTTCTGTTCTAGTTCTGTTCTAGTTCTATTCTAGTTCTGTTCTAGTTCTAGTTCTAGTTCTGTTCTAGTTCTGTTCTAGTTCTGTTCTAGTTCTGTTCTAGTTCTGTTCTAGTTCTGTTCTAGTTCTGTCTAGTTCTGTTCTAGTTCTGTTCTAGTTCTGTTCTAGTTCTGTTCTAGTTCTGTTCTAGTTCTGTTCTAGTTCTAGTTGTCTAGTTCTGTTCTAGTTCTGTTCTAGTTCTGTTCTAGTTCTGTTCTAGTTCTGTTCTAGTTCTGTTCTAGTTCTGTTCTAGTTCTGTTCTAGTTCTGTTCTAGTTCTGTTCTAGTTCTGTTCTAGTTCTGTTCTAGTTCTGTTCTAGTTCTGTTCTAGTTCAGTTCTAGTTCTGTTCTAGTTCTCTTCTAGTTATGTTTAGTTCTGTTCTAGTTCTGTTCTAGTTTTGTTCTAGTTCTGTTCTAGTTCTGTTCTAGTTCTGCTCTAGTTCTGTTCTAGTTCTGTTCTAGTTCTGTTCTAGTTCTGTTCTAGTTCTGTTCTAGTTCTGTTCTAGTTCTGATCTAGTTCAGTTCTAGTTCAGTTCTAGTTCTGTTCTAGTTCTGTTCTAGTTCTGTTCTAGTTCTGTTCTAGTTCTGTTCTAGTTCTGTTGTAGTTCTGTTCTAGTTTTGTTATAGTTCTGTTCCATTTCTGTTTTAGTTCTCTTCTAGTTCTGTTCCAGTTCTGTTTTAGTTCAGTTCTAGTTCTGTTTTAGTTGTAGTTCTTGTCTAGTTCAATTCTAGTTCTGTTCAATTTTGGTTAAGTGCATTTCTAGCCCTGTTCCAGAATTGAACTTGTAACAGAACAAAAACTGAGCCACTTTTACTTTCCTCTCTTATTAAATTTTCAGATCTGTTTGAGTTTTAATTTGTTTAACACCCACACATATGCTGCAGTTTATAGTTTTTTTAACTGTACGTTTAGTTAATATTAGCAAACGCAATATGAATAACATTTGCCAGTGTTGTTTGTTTAACCTACTTTTTGGTAGCATGCCGCCGAAACTTTTCTAATTACTATGCTTTATTTTGCTGCGCTGCTGCAGCTATCTCTTTTTTTTTTTCTCCATATACATATACATATATTGTTTTTTTTATATAGAATATATTTAATTTTTTGTGCAGAAAACTAACATTTTATAATTTTAAAATGAGTGCAAATGAATGTTAAAGTATAATAAAACTTGGGTGAAAACTAGCGTAGAAAATTATTAAAAAAATAAATGATTATATATGTATGAAGCTTAATCAACAAAGTTGTTAGCAAACTACTGTGTTCTGTTTCCTTTTTTTACATTCTATTCAATCCATCTGATAAATATTAAAGATTTTTTTGTTTAATATTCATTAGTAATGGAATTTATAATATGGAGCAAGGAAGTAAGAAAAAAAGTTTTGTACTCATTATATTTTTAGTAAGTAGAATAAAGAGAAATGTTATTTAAAAACTAGTAACAGAAATAAAAGAGGCAGTTAAGTGTGTAAGGCTGGAGGAATTGTTAAGATACTCTTTAGTTTAAACTAAAGAAAAATTATTGATAATTGAATAAAATAAAACTTGTGTTTTTTAAAATTTTTTTCACCTAAAAGTAGGCACCACTTTTCCTTAACTAACCTCTTTTTTAAAACTTTTCTGTAAGCAGTTTTTCTTAACATATGCGCTAATTGAAAATATTCTACATTAACACATAATAATTTCATTTGTGTGATAAAAAATGCTTTAAAACTTATACCCAACCACTTACCCAAGGCAACAAAAGGAAAAAATCATTATATGAACTCCGTCTGATCCCTACACTTGTTATGTTTTTTTTTTTTATCTGGTTTCAGTTCGTTGTGAAACCATTTAGCCGTAAGGAAGCATTTAAAATACCATAACTGCTAGTTACAAAAGCAGCAACAACACACACAAAAAAATCCTAGTAAAAAATAAACGACAAATTAAAAAAAGTATAGCATAAGCCTAAAGCTATGCTATAGAAAAGAGAGCAGGAATAATACATACTCATATACTATACTTTCTTTTCATAAGACTTAATGCACAATGATGATGTATTATTATTTTTTTATACTTTTTTTTGGTAAGAAATGTCGTTGTTGTTATCATTATTGTAGTTGTTGCAAAAAGAAGACCAATGGCCCTAAGCCTAGGCTTAAGCATTTACCACCACATACACACAATACATAACCAAGGCAACAACAGCATTATAATGTTTAAATACCAACTACAATAAAGCAAACAAAAAACGAATAAATAAAATAAAAATTGAGTTAAATGTTTTATGAGTCTAAAGGGAATATCAGTTTTTTTTTTTTTGGATCTTAATACAGCACTTGGCACAAGCAATATTTTGTTGTTGGAGTTTTTAAGAAGAAGATACAAAATTAGCTATACAACAGTCAAAAACACTGACCCTGCACAAAAATAATATTTATACGAATTTAATACTTATTGCTTAGGAATTAGTTAAATAGGAAAATAATGTTGTTGAAGGAAATTTGTGGAGAATAATATTTTGTTGGAAATTATGCTAAGGAATTAGTTGTATCATATCGATCTTATTGGATGATGAAAAAAGGTTATTGGCCTTGTTGTAAGATTTAATGTTGTATAAAAACTTTCGACAAATTTCTTTAACATATTTAAAGAAAATGAAATATATAACAGTTCATTTTTAGTTCAGTTCTAGTTCAGTTTTAGTTCAGTTCTAGTTCAGTTCTAGTTCAGTTCTAGTTCAGTTCTAGTTCAGTTCTAGTTCAGTTCTAGTTCAGTTCTAGTTCAGTTCTAGTTCAGTTCTAGTTCAGTTCTAGTTCAGTTCTAGTTCAGTTCTAGTTCAGTTCTAGTTCAGTTCTAGTTCAGTTCTAGTTCAGTTCTAGTTCAGTTCTAGTTCAGTTCTAGTTCAGTTCTAGTTCAGTTCTAGTTCAGTTCTAGTTCAGTTCTAGTTCAGTTCTAGTTCAGTTCTAGTTCAGTTCTAGTACAGTTCTAGTTCGGTTCTGGGACAGTTCTAGTTCAGTTCTAGTTCAGTTCTAGTTCAGTTCTAGTTCAGTTCTAGTTCAGTTCTAGTTCAGTTCTAGTTCAGTTCTAGTTCAGTTCTAGTTCAGTTCTAGTTCAGTTCTAGTTCAGTTCTAGTTCTAGTTCAGTTCTAGTTCAGTTCTAGTTCAGTTCTAGTTCAGTTCTAGTTCAGTTCTAGTTCAGTTCTAGTTCAGTTCTAGTTCAGTTCTAGTTCAGTTCTAGTTCAGTTCTAGTAGTTCTAGTTCAGTTCTAGTTCAGTTCTAGTTCAGTTCTAGTTCAGTTCTAGTTCAGTTCTAGTTCAGTTCTAGTTTCAGTTCTAGTTTCAGTTCTAGTTCAGTTCTAGTTCAGTTCTAGTTCAGTTCTAGTTCAGTTCTAGTTCAGTTCTAGTTTTCAGTTCTAGTTCAAGTTCTAGTTCAGTTCTAGTTCAGTCAGTTCTCAGTTCAGTTCTAGTTCAGTTCTAGTTCAGTTCTAGTTCAGTTCTAGTTCAGTTTCTATTTCAGTTCTAGTTGAGTTCTAGTTCAGTTCTAGTTCAGTTCTAGTTCAGTTCTAGTTCTAGTT